AACCCTACTGCATACTGGAGGCACAACAGCATCAAGTGCTCTTTAATGTGGGATGCAAACGTCGGGCTACTTGTTGGTCCAAAATGACTTGTAGTGAGTGCAACTCAGCACGATGTCGGACAGACATCATGGTCTAAGGCTGCCATGGGTGAAAATGAAAGAATTTAAGGAAGTCGACTGCTAACAGGAAAATGAGGTTACGGACACTTTGCTCAGCAGAAGTTAGCCCTCATTGATCATGTCTAAACGCATCCTGTGCTGCTGCAATTTAACTCTCAAATGTTTCACAGCACTTGCTCCAAGGGAAGGGAGTGACACATTTGCCAGTGAAAACATCTTCATGCAAAACTCCACGTTTGATATTGGATTATACAATAAACTGGTGAAACCACTGCCTGTAAAAATTCTTTTGTGGGGTTTTTTTTTCCTCCCCCTTTTAGGAGATGGGGACAGAGGGGAGGGGTTTCCCTCTCCTACCTCTGCTGTGATCACCAAAGAAATCAGAGTCACTCAGAAACAAGGGCAAAGCTGAAGCAATTCCAAGACAGTGCCTTGTTTAAGGAACAGCTGACCAGTGCAGCCTCTCTTTTCTTGTTCTCTCTTCTTTGCTTCTCATCTTCTTTCACGGCATTGATGGACAGGGGAAGAGCAACTGGACATTGTCTACCTGGACTTATCCAAAGCATTTGATACTGTCCCACACGACATCCTCATCTCTAAACTGGAAAGACGTGGTTTTGATGGATGGACTACTCGGTGGATAAGGAATTGGCTGGATGGTCGCACTCAAAGAGTTGTGGTCAACGGTTCAATGTCCACGTGGAGGCCAGTGACAAGTGGTGTTCCTCAGGGGTCAGTACTGGGACCAGTGCTATTTAGCATCTTTGTTGGAGACATGGACAGTGGGAATGAGTGCACCCTCAGCAAGCTTGCAGATGACACCAAGTTGTGTGGTGCTGTGGACACGCTGGAGGGAAGGGATGCCATCCAGAGGGACCTTGACAGGCTCAAGAGATGGGCCTGTGAGAACTTCATGAAGTTCACCAAGGCCAAGTGCAAGGTCCTGCACATGGGTCGGGGCAATCCCATGCACAAGTACAGGCTGGGCGGAGAATGGATTGAGAGCAGCCCTGAGGAGAAGGACTTGGGAGTGCTGGTGGGTGAGAAGCTCAACATGAGCCGGCAATGTGCGCTGGCAGCTCAGAAAGCCACCCGTGTCCTGGGCTGTATCAAAAGCAGCGTGGGCAGCAGGTCGAGGGAGGGGATTCTGCCCCTCTGCTCTGCTGTCCTGAGACCCCACCTGGAATACTGTGTTCAGCTGTGGAGTCCCCAACACAAGAAGGACATGGAGCTACTGGAACAAGTCCAGAGGAGGGCCACGAAGATGATCAGAGGGCTGGAGCACCTCTGCTATGAAGACAGGCTGAGAGAGTTGGGGCTGTTCAGCCTGGAGAAGAGAAGGCTCCGGGGTGATCTTATAGCAGCCTTCCAGTGCCTAAAGGGGCTACAGGAAAGCTGGAGAGGGACTTTTTACAAGGGTGTGTACTGACAGGACAAGGGGCAATGGATTTAAACTGAAAGAGGGGAGATTTAGGTTAGATATAAGAAAGAAATTTTTCACTCTGAGAGTGGTGAGGCAGTGGCACAGGTTGCCCAGAGAAGTTGTGGCTGCCCCATCCCTGGCAGTGTTCAAGGCCAGGTTGGATGAGGCTTTGGGCAACCTGGTGTAGTGGAGGGGTTCCCTGCCCATGGCAGGGGGGGTGGAACTAGATGATCTTTAAGGTCCCTTCCAACACAAACCATCCTATGATTCTATGATTCTATCTTTTACGTTAATATGGATGGAGAAAACTTCAGCGTTTCTCTCAAAGCAAGACGACTCATCGAAGATGGCAGTCAAAGAGGCAGTTGTGACAGACGGTGCGGGGAGGGGCACTGACATTCCCAGCTGAAAGGCTTCAACCCAAATACACCAAAATTAATGCATTCCTCCCAGAGAGAGAGAATGATACAAGAGCTGAAGGAAGGGTTGAAAGAAACAGGATCTACAGAAGAATGCAAGGCTTGGCACCGACAGCTGTAGCGCTATCCAGAGGGAGGATGTGTTCTCCCATCGAGCTGGACGTAAACCTGTGATCTGCCGCAAAGCTGCCGCTTGGCACGATGCACACCGAGGAACGGAGCCTGCCCTGTCTTCGCCCGGTGCCACAGTTACCCAGCTCGGATGAACGGGTCTCTGCCTCCCTGACCAAGCCGCTTCCGAAGAGACCGACGTCCCTAAGACCACATCGCAGCTGCGACAGGCAAAATAGAAAGCGGGTACCAAGTTCTAAGCACAGATTTACTTCTCACTAATATCCCTCTTCATCTTGAAATATGCACATTAACTGCCGATAAGCTGGCGCCATCTCTGCCTTGAGAAGCGATCTGCAAAGGAAACGGTGTCAGTGACCCTTTTTGCTTCTTTGTACACAGAACTGCAGCCTAAAACACGCTGCAGTTTTGAAAATGGCTCCACAGTGTCTTTTAGCATGGAAACTATTTAAGTCGATTGCCAGTTTTCGATCCCTGGAAAATCACCAGAGTATGAAGTCAAAGACAACAGGCAATGAAAACAAAACCAAGAAAATCTTTAGCCAAAACTGTTAAATGACTTAGACATCTTTGTAGATCAAGATCTTAATGTAAACTTGAAAAATGCTTTGAGACACAGACTAAACAATGCCAACCCTTCAGCTCAAAGAACATTTTGGAAGTTTTTTCTGTTATGGGGCTCTAGTCTGAACAGCATCAGCAAGACACGGCCAACACCACCACTGAATTACAGGCAGCAGTAAACAGAGGACAGGGAGAAACATCCTCATTTCTCTTCAGGAGCAGGCTACAATCAACATCAATTATTTGCAACTCCATTAGCTTTGTGTAGTTTACAGAGAGGATTTGAACCCCTGTTTGGATCTTTGCTCTCAGCTGAATGAGAAAGTAACCATCTAAACACACTAGGAGTACAGTCAGCTATGATCCGACTTGCTCCTACCTGATGGTAGTTTTAAAGACTACTACCTGTAGTCTTTAAAACCAGAGAGAATGATCATGGATGAAAACAGCATTTACACAGTAGATTTTGTAAATCAGTGGGAATGGGAGACAATCTCAAATTTAAATTACTACAGCATATACAGAGAAAAATCAGTTTTCGTGTACTTGATCCTCTGTCGTTCAGAGAAAGCAAAGACCAGGGTTGCCAGAAATGCCTTTGTTCAGTTACCTGCTGCAAACTCCTCAATAGTCATCAATGGGAAGCGGATAAGAGAAAGTGCTTTGCCCAGCACTTTCCGCTTGTTCTCTGGAATCACCTGAAGTTGCTGCCGTTGACACTCAGCCTCCGACCAGCGAACCACTGCATTAAACAAACGAACCTCCCGGATCCCCAGGGTGTCCCTCTCCAGCACCGCAACCAAGGTGTCTGCAAGGCAGGACAGATAGTGACAACTTTAGGCACTAACCCAAAACCACCCGATTCCACCTGGCCAGAAGTACCCTGTGTACAGCCAAGGTAAGGAAAAGAGAAGCACTTGAAAAACAGCATCTCCCAGAATTGCTGCCTGCAGCCTCTGAGGAACATGTATCTGCACATTCCATGCGCAAGTAACTCACTGGAGCAGCAAACGGTGCCCATTTAATTGGCATGTTAATGGAAGTGCAGTAGAATGAATTGCAACTTACTTGATGTCAAATTTGGATGAAGCAAGCAGCATGAAAGCCAGAAGGTTACCCGTGCCTTACCTCCACAGTCCATCTCATTAAAATTCAGATTTTAACCTTCTTCTAATGTTTATTAACTGCGCCCAGCAAGTTTGGAAACTGCATACGATAATTAAAACAGCCAGTTCTTGCTTCCAAAAACGCAACACCTTTTTAACTCTCAAAACCCAACAAAGACTCAGGGAACGATGCCAACTCCACGAAAGGCAAGTTACACCCACCCAAAACCTGCCAACATCAACAGAGGAAACGGGCTTTGCATCATGCCCAGAAAACTCAAGTTGCACCAAAGCACGCAGATTCCAGGATATTTCTGCAAGCAAGCACGCTCTTTGGCCTCGTCTGTAGCCGCTCCGTGCCAGAGACCGTTGGTTCAACAGATTGCTCCAGAACAGCGAGGCCACAAAAGAGAAGTGCCAAGTAGGAACCTGTAATAATTTTGGAGGCTGCCTTGTTACGAAAGCATGTCGAGGGAGGAGGGAAAAAAGCTTACCCAGATCAATGTCTGTAAACCCCTCCGCATTGATGGCATCTGACGTGTTCTTGTCTATGTTCTCTAGGCAAAGGCTGGCCAGCTGAGGCTCATCAAAAAGTCTTGCCTGGTAATGAAGAAGCAGTCGTTAACACAAAAGGTATTTTAAAGCTTACACCGAGAAAGTCCCCCCCTTCTCTCCCAGAGCCAATCTTCATTAACAACACTACGCCTGACTGCATCATGAATTCACTGGGCTGCAGCAGTCTTTCACAAGCAGTTAAGCATGACAAGGCAAACACTGGAAAAATCTGCAGTTGGCATCAGTTGCTTTAGCTGTGCATGTCTTCAGGCACGTCTTTGTTTGAACATCACGTCAGCTAAGGCGGCTGCAGCGCTTTCTAGCGCCATACTGACCATGTCAGCTGAGCACGGGTAATTTTTACTACATCATTTTTATATTTAGAAGGAAGCTTTGCCCAATGACCCCGGGCCTGCTCGCTCTAGGAATATGCAGAGACAGCTTATTCTGTAAGAACACAGTCGCACTGATCTCATGTATTAGCAAAACCGCCGTAGCAGGCACACCGCTCGAGACCCAGGAGGATGTGCAAAACCCTGCAGGGTACACAGCCTGCTTAGTGCATTTGCATGTTTTGCACAGAAACAGCTACTCTAATCTAGTTACCTTAAAGAATTCCTCCCCAAATAGGTTACTATTCCAAAGAAAGCCTGCACACAGCTTGGAGAGTTGCTCAGAATCTCTCTGCTCGACTTAAGTGCAGTCTCCTAACAATTTCAGATCCCCCTGGACCACCAAGACATGTTACCAACACTGTGCCCAGCATAAACAGAAATGAAGTGGAAACACATAAAAGTCTCTAAGATGACCTCGTATTTCCAATGCCTTGGTTTTGCTCTTTAGGTAGGAACTGCCTTAACATCAGCGCAAGAATGCACTGAGACTTGAACTCGCTGCCACAGGTAAGGCTTAAAAATTGTGTTTTGAGCTGGCAATTCAGGCGCTGACGGAGGCTAACACTGTCAAGCATCTTCTGCTTCACCCTTGCTCATGGGCTGCAGAGCTTAGCAAGGCCAGCCTTCAACGTGGAGACCTCAAGTGCAGAGAGCTGAAAGAACTCTCCTTCTTCTCAGGGACCAGGGAAGCTTCAGCAGTCGTCACCTGCTCCTGGGGCTGGAGGACTGCCAGTGCCTTGCGCTCCGGGCATCCAACAGCTGTGACTGACTCAGACTTTACTACTGTAGTGGCTCTCTTTTGACACATGAAGGACTTGATCACGGGTCACTATGAGGCACATTCAATTAGGAGAGCTATTTGCCACCGATATTTCTGCCAGAGATCAGCAGCTGCTTGAAACGCTGTCAATGGTATAGCTGCTGGGCCAGCAGGATTCAGCAACGACACACACAAAAGAGATTTGGGGCTTTATGATTTTAGGTTCACAACCTGAAGCCTGTCAGGAAATGTTTTGTACAACACACATCTCAGGTCTGTAATTGACTGTACAAGCTGTCAATTTGTTGCAGTATAAGCAGAAAACAGAACGATTTTCACACTGAAGGAGCAGAACTGAGAGCATTTGGAGAATGGATCCATTAAGTGAGGTGCCTCGTGCAGCCAGTCATTGAGATTACAGATATCAAAGAACACCAGCCTCCAACTTTTTAAAGACTTGATATATTGCAATAGTGAACAGAAACCAGATACGAATCGCCACTGATAATTAATCATAACAGATAAGGCACAAACAAAAGGAACCAGGAAAGCCCATCTCCATCTGGCATTTCAGCTGCCCAGTGCAGCTGACCGAGCACCAGGCAGCATCTAGTTCTGGATATCTGAAAAACTAGGACGCCCTCCTCTTTTGCCACAGAAGGACCTTTGTGACATGTAAGGAAGCCACCACAAACCTAAACGTTACCTTGCCAAAGCTGCCAAGTCAGGTTGCAGAGACTTAGCATGCTGCAAAAAATCCCTGCATAAAGAATACCACCAAAAAGCTGACACCTCTAATCCTCCCAGGGTGATGGCAGCATTAAGATGCCTCTTCAAAACTGCAGCCATGGGAAATATCTTTTCTCAGCTCTTGGATAACAGCTCCTGATCTTCCAGACTGGTGAACCTGAAGAACGGGAGAGCTTCGGCCAAAGAGCTACAATTGTCCTACCACGCATCAGATGGGAGCGCAGATTTGGCTACCATCACCCAAGCAAGAATCTTTCGGTCCCGAATCTCCCCCAGGGGATTGCAGCGTGGTTCCCCCCACATCTCTCAGGCCGTGTCGCCCGTTTATGGCATGTGGAAAAGGGACGAGTTTAAAAGAGGATGTGCAAAGGAGGGACACGGTATTTTGCAGCGATAGCGGAATCCCAGCAGTGAAGAGCGCTCACAACAGCCATGGAACAGCTTTAAGAACTTGATCCAAATATTTAAACTCAAATAAAAATCCCAGCCTAATCCCAGCAAACAAACAAAGAGCTCAGTAGCGACTGCTTCGGGCCAACACTGCTTTAGGCCAACACTGCTTCAGTTTCTGCAAAAACTGCTGGTGTAGACACTGCCACCGACGTGGTACCTACCGTCAGCCTGAAAGATGCTCGTACTCCCGACAAGGAGGCAAAAAAGCCAGTTGTCAGATACGCTGCGCAAGACAGGACAAAGCCTCCCAGTCAGACCACCTTAACGCGCTGGTTCCCAAGTCAGGGCAGCTGTGAAAACTCCTCTGCAAGGTTTGTTTAACATCAGAAATCTCAGCAGCATTCCTGAGCTGGCTGATCAGAAATATTTCTCCAGAGCTAGTCAAAAGCATGCCCGTTCCCTAACGGAAAGAAACTGGTGCACAATGCCTATTTGTTTCTTGTTCCTACACAACCCAGAACAGGGCGTCCCTGGCCATGCTACAGACACTGCAACACGCAGGTGACAGCACCGTGGAAGTCATCAGGACGTCATCAGCTGTCAGCAGAGAGGGTGGCTGGGACCAGAAAGAAAAGATGGGGCTAGGAAATGGGAAGGAGAGCGGTACTAATTGAATCAACCTGCATGCAAAGCCTCATCTTCTCCAAAATAAGCAGAAGGTGTAAACACTGCGTTCTAGTGTGCTGCTTCAAGGGCCAAACGGCAGACAGAGGAGTCCAGCCCTCTCCACCAGATGGGACAGAGGGGCACGAGGATGCGCAACCAGCCTCGCCAAGAGTTAGGGAACAGCTGCACTGGGACTCCAGGCTTGGGTGCCTTCCGTGCAGCAGGAAGGGGAGCTGGAACAGGCCAAGACAGAGGTCACTTTGTTCCTCTCTTAGGAAAATAAACCAAAGCACTCGTGAAAAAGTTCCATTTCCTCTCTTTCACCCCCATTTCAGGGAAACTACTGCAAAAAAAAAAGTTCTTCAAAGATCGTCTGACCAGCTAGACGCAGCAAGCTTTGCACAGAGAAAGGTTATCACACCAGTCCTGAATCTGAACAAGTGAAAATCCTCCCATTTCACTTTCCTTCTTGGCAGACGAGATTTTTTCCACCCTGTTCATTCCTTCCCCAGCTCACACTCTGGAAGGAATCACTTGCCACACTGAAACAGAAAGATGATCGGAAATGGCAGCAACATTTGCTGTATTTTATTGTTCTTTCTAAGAACGTGCTCATCAGCACTAGACTCCTGGAAGGGAGAAATCAAAATGACCCAGAACTGCTCCATTTTGGATGATCAACTCAGCAACACTCAGAAAACTTTTGTTTTTCTATTGTGATGGACCTTGCTCAAAGGACTTGACGCAAAAGATTGCAAACTCACCTGTGTTAACAGCATGAATGCATTGTCTGCTCGGAGGTTTTTTTTAAGAAACTCCACACAATGAGCTTCAAGGGCTGGAACTGCATATTTTTTAGCTGTGTAAAGCGTTGTCATAACAGTCTCTGGTCCAATCTGAACTTCGTCTGAGTAGAGAAATCTGAAAGCATGCAAACAAACATTGCTCTGGTGAAGCCAACAAGATAACAGGGTGAAAAGCCTTGCAAGTCATAAACCCCATGTTTGTGCTTCTGCCCATCATTCTGGCCTCACTTCCTGTACGTGAGAGATGGAAGGGTTTTCACATCCTTTCCACTGACTCTGGTTTACCAAGGAGAGGCTTTTTTTTTTTTTAAAAAAAAACCACACTTTTTACAGTATAACTTTTAATGAATGAAGTAGCTGGGATATCTGCTGAGGCACCCTGAACGGTCCAGCACTCCACGACCAGTGAGCTCTCTAGCCTGCCACTTACACCAGGCAAGAACAGTCTCTGGCCAAGCCTAAAGATGAACATTTTTGGCTGTTCAATTAGACTAAACAGGGGCAAAAATTCAATCCTGCCTGCCTCCTTCAGAAGAGAAGATCCATTTTACATATTAATTCAAAAGTGATCAGAAGCACTCAAACATACACACTCACTGCAGGTGAGGTTTCATCCATGGTTTCATCCATACCCTCATCTCTTCCATCTTCCATCCACACCCTTTCCCCTCATCTCTTCACTTTATATACCCAACTGTTTAATTTCATGATACTGATGCTGAAGTACAGCACACAGTATAACTTCAGCAGAAAGCAAGAGTTAATTGCAATGATAAACAAGGACTGCCACGCTGCTAGCAAAGCACCAGCCTTCACTGTTAGGCCAAAACAAGGAAGTACATTCATTCCGCATGGAAAAACAGCGGTCTTCCTAGGAAGCCTGACGGAGCCTCCTCACACCCAAGCATGCTGATGAGAGGGAACAGGAACCGACAGGCTGAGTTCAGTAAAACCAGTTACACACTTGGTGTTAGTCCTAATCCCATGCAGAGTTTTTGTTTACTGCTTTTCCTTTAGCCAGTCAAGCATTTGCCCATCGGGATCTGAAAGGCACGAAGCACGGAGGCATCACATTCAGTGTGTTAACTGCGCTTGGCACTCCTGTTCCGCGGGATATTTTGGAAACTCCAGCAATTTCTTCTCCTGCTTTTCTCCGAAGGGGCCACAGCAACGTCGTCGTCACGCAGCAGCAAGGGCTCTTCCAGGGGGATGCCAGGCAGGGTCCCTGTCTGGAGCGACTTGCTGCAGAGCAGCAGCGGAGCTCTGGTCCTCCAGCTAGAGAGGGCCAGGATGCAATTCAGGGAAGCATAAACGGGGGGATTCAGAGGAAGGGAAGCGTTCTCATTGCTGTTGAAAGCAGGCTTTTGTGCTGCTCTAGAGCATCTGTTAATAACAGCATCAAGCCACGGGCTGACGAATGTATTTTGCACACATCCCTTCAGCAGTCCTATTTTCACTAAGTAATCCTTTTTATTACAAGCTTAAAAGAACACAGTTGCTCTAAAAACAACTAGTTCTGTTTACTGCCATGACTATGTTGGTATTTATTTTTTTTCGCAATAGTCCAGTGTACACAAAGAGGAAGCTCGAACTGTGAAAAAGTGTCGTATAAATTTAAAAGAAGATTCAGATTATAACCCCAGACAAGCAAAAGTGTTCTTTGGGTTACCATGAAAATACTACTACTAAAAAAGAATCTCTTACACAATTACCACAGATCTATTAAAAGCCACTAGCCCACAAACACCATCACAATCTAGTGTTCAGAAGGGACCTTCTGCTGAACATTCAGGATGGGCATTCTGTCCCGTAACAAGCTCCTGATCCTACAGCATTCGGTCATGGCTTGGATCAAGTCGAGAGATACATGTAAGGATCAGCTGCTAGTTCAGATCAGTGTTTGGAGGGATCAGTTTTACTCCATGTACTTGGTAAGCTTCCGACTAGAAAGCAGCACTCAAACTTCCTTTAGCACACTTAAGCATTTTAAAACTGACAGTTCGATTCTAGATTTAAGAATCTATAGTACCACTAGACCATGTGCACAGCTACTGTGAACAGTCTGGGTTGGAAGGAACCTTCAAGGTCATCCAGTTCCAACCCCTCTGCCATGGGCAGGGACACCTTCCACTACACCAGGTTGCCCAAAGCCTCATCCAACCTGGCCCTGAACACTTCCAGGGATGGGGCAGCCACAACTTCTCTGGGCAACCTGCTCCAGTGCCTCACCACCCTCAGAGGGAAGAATTTCTTCCATAGATCTCATCGAAATCTCCCCTCTTGCAGTTTAAAGCCATTGCCCCTTGTCCTATCACTCCATGCCCTTGTCCAAAGCCCCTCTCTAGCTTTCTTGTAGGCCCCCTTGAAGTACTGGAAGGTGTCTCTGGAGTCTTCGGTTGTCCAGGCTGAACAGCCCCAACTCTCTCAGCCTGTCTCCATAGCAGAGCTGCTCTAGCCCTCGGAGCATCTTCGTGGCCCTCCTCTGGATCTGCTCCAAACAGCTCCATGTCCTTCTGATGTTGGGGACCCCAGAGCTGAACACAGCACTGTAGCACAACTGTAAGCTTTAGAGGCACTGTGATAATCCACACACAACTTCTCCTATACAAAATATAAACATTTCCATTGAAATCCACCTAAACTCATCACCTTAGTCTTTTCAGATGATAGTTCTCTTCCAAGACCATATTGTTTATACAACTGCTGAAATCTCACCACTGGCAGGGAACCAACATGACTCTGCCTCTAATTCACTCGATATCTTAACCTCACTAAGTTTTAAGGACAGATACTGTGTGCTCCAGAGAGATCTACCTGACAGAGTCCTATGCCAATTAGAGGCATTCCCCACGTGCTGGTGTCTGGTTTAAAATGAGCCAAAGGGGAGGGGGCTAGGGGCTCCCTATTATTTCTGGCCTTTCATTCTAGCAAAGATCAATTTTTAAATCTTCTAAGACAGCACAGTCATGACCGAAGCACTTAGTGAAGGTAAAGCAAAAAGTGTGCCAAAGCTATATTTATTTAGTCATTGTTCCCAATAGGAAGCAAGCAGGGAACGTGTCAAGAGCACAGGACTGGAAACCCCTGGAAGTAGGTTACAGAAATTCCATAGAAACGGGACAATGACTTTTCAGCATACACTCAGGATTGCTGCTGGATGTTACACAGCACCAGCCGAGCTTAAAGCCATCGGTGAATCGGGTGTTACAGCCCTTCCTCCCCCCTGCCCCAGCACGCAGACCTGCAACGCACGCGGCAAACGTGAACTCCAGACCAGCTCTCCAGAGAGAATCTAAACACGTGCCAGGGGAAACACCACACGGAATGGCTGACACCGATTCCATACGCTTGCTTACCTGTTACAACTTGCTCATTTGCCCATAACCTAAATGAGCTGCAAGTACTTGTAACTTACAGAGCTTTAACTCGTCCCCACTTCTCCCAAACAGCGTTTGGGTCAAATCAAACCAATTCATGAACGAAAATTTAGGAGACAGCGTGTGAACGAGTGCCAACTTAACAACACGGGCCAGCACGTGCGCCTACTCCAGTTTCTAACCAGAACACCTCCCTGTTGCTGCATTTGATGGTGTAACTACATATAACTACATATTTACAAAATTATAATCCATCCAATGTAGTTTTGCCCATACTCCAGCAACAGGGGGGCATACTCATTTAACTATTGCTAAATGAAAACATGGAGCAAGTCAGATACTTTTGTGCAGTAGCTATGCTAGACTTTTACCCAGGAAAAGAGGGATTCAACACCAGCATTTAAACGTCCTTGAACAGATCAACAAAGAGGCATTTTATTTAGAAACTCAACGATCTCCACTCTGCAAAATGGTTCACCGCTTTCATTGAAAATACCCGTTTCTACAATAAATCTGTTCATTCCAGTGATACTGTAGATTAGAAGCAGCTTACTTCAGCAGAGCTAGGAAGGCAGCAGGCTCCACATCAGGCAGCTCAATCTCTGTAGAAGTTGTGGCCATTCCACCATTAAACATGGCATCGAAGACTGCGCTGCCCACAGCCAGCACAAACCTAACATTAAAAAACAAACAAGAAAAAAAAAAATAAACCTTATGTTAAACCATATTCGCTTTCCAAAAAAAAATCCCAGGCCAGTTGCTGTTCCCCAAGGTCACCCCCAGGGAAAGCAAATCCCTCCTAGGGTTAAAGAAAAAATGTTTTGCAACAGAAGGGAGTGTCAGGCTTTCTGTTCCTTTACTGTGAAAACGCCAACGTTTCAAGCAACTTCATTTTGAGCCCTGTCCCAGTACACAACATCGTAATGGTTCCCCAAAGACAACATTTTGTGCATCACGGGACAGAATACATGTGGCTGCTTTTTGCAAAGTCCTTGTAGGAGCCCTGTGGACCATTCTCGAGGTTGAGAAGTTCAGACACAACGAAGTTAAGGAATTCAAGTTTTTCCATTGAACGGCGCCCAAGTCTTGGTGCAATTCCCCACAGGCACATACTGAAAACGCTTACGGAAAACCAGTCACTACACACTACCCATCCTCCTCCCGTCTCCCCAGACACCAGGAAGACATCCTTGGTGACAGCAGAGGAAGCTCCCAAAACATGCAAATTGCACCGGCAGCACCACCGGGAGCCGCGGACACCAGCACCTCCTGCAGCACCCGGCACAGGAGCTGCCTTCCCCAGGCACACTGCTGTCTCCTTCCACGCAAAAACTACTTTGGGCTTAGCCTAGAAGGCAGGGAAAACCTCACTGGAAGCAAACTGGCACTGCCAGGTGCACACGAACCGTTCTTGCACTGCTGTGAGTTTACGGGGTGATTAACGGTGAGAGGCATGTTATCGGCCCTCGAGGAATAGGAAGCAAGAATTCCCACAAACCAAGTTTGAGACCGAAAATCATATTCCAGCGCTCCCATGTAAACAAGATGATTTCCCTCACTGATGAACGGCAACTCGTGTTTTAAGAGGAGGCACAGACCTGGGCTGCTGAGAGGCCTGCGTGTATTTAAGCTGCTGTACCTGCCTTACGCTTAGAAAAGCCACTTTGAGAACTTGCATCGTCTGAAAACGCAGAGATGAGTTTTTCCCAGTAAAGCAATCTTGTTCCTGGTGTCTGCAATCCAGCAGCTCCCTGAAGTTAAACACAGCAGAGGCCACGAAGGTCACAGCTCAGCAGCACGGGGAAGCAGAGGAGACCAGGCTGCAGAAGCGACTACTGCAACCACTTCTCCAGCCGACTGTAAAAAGGAAGAAACTGGAAAATCAGGGGCTCTTGCTGCAGCAGAGCTTGATGCATGGTTTGATGGATAGAAGCATCAAGAACTGGAGGCAGAAAACGTATGGGACAGAAGGAACGAGACCAAAACTTCCAGTACTCAGACCCCAAGGAATGCCCATCACTAAAGGGGAAGGAATTTCAGTTAAGATTTTGCTGCAGTAGGAAATGACACAGAAGCCTTTTTCTTTTCTTTTGAACAAAATTTTTCATTTTCTCACTTTTCAACTCCCCTCCCATCCAGAAGAGGCCTTCCACGGACACAATAGAGCGAAGTGCTGTGGACGTGCCAGGCTCGTTTGGCACGCCGAGCCGTTTGGCTGACAAGCCGGGCTGCATTGTTTCGGATCGGTTAAGAGAGCTAGGGACAAACCACAGTGATGAAAAAAAAATAAATACACACGCATATTTCTGTTAAACAAGTCTGAAGAAAAACGTCAAGAACAAATAAAAAAAAAAACCTTGTTCGCAATACTCGAATTGCCAGATGAAACAAAAATCCTTGTTCCTACCAAAGCAGCGACGGTGACGAGACAATCGCACGCATTATTTGCTACTAAAAATTAACATAAATTAATTGCACATTAAAATTTTCGTTCTCACAGCCAATACGTATCCTCAACGAGCAATAGCAATTTGAAAAGGGCATTCATTTAAAAAAAACAACTCAAATTTTTGCTTCCATTTCGCTTAGGGACAAGTCAGCCTGATTTTTTTTTAAGCTACCGAGCCCTAAAGAGCTCTCAGTAGGTGCCAGAGAGAGACACAGGGCTCCGAATTTTCAAGTTCCCTTAAAACATTAAGGGAACACAAGCAACATAAGAAAGTTCCTCGCTCTTCATGGTGCCTTCCCTCTCACTCTTGTTAAAATGAACACTTAACGCTGCTCTAAAGACGCTCCAGGAAAAGCAGGGACATGTGCTGTTTCTCCTACACACTCCAACAGTTTTCCCCAACCGCTCAGGTCTGCAAAAGGAAGAAATAAGGTTTGTTTCAGGTGGGAGAAACACAACTATTAAGCCAAACGGGCAGAGAAACGGGGCTTTCTTTTGTTTTGCCCTCCTATTTTCTGAAGCACCGCAGTGCCCAGTGCCCAGCAAAGCCTCTCTCCTGCCCCGAGGAGCACTGCCCGACGCAAACACCAGCTCTCGAAAGGGAAACGCAGGTACCCTGCGCTCAGCAGTGACCCACCTTCGTCAGAGGAAGAACTCAAACAGAGGGTTATTTCTGACCAACGGCACGGTGAACAAAATAAAGCCGACTGCCAAAACGATGCAAATAAACGAGCAGAAGTGGAGCAAAAGAACTAAGAAAGCAAAACTTGAATTCTCGTCGTCCCCTCTGCGTGTATGAGAATCAAAGTGAACTGACTTCCAGCAACAAGAGTCACAGGAACCTCCGTGAGGTTCATAATTTGATTTGTCTTCACAAGGATCCAAAGTTGACTCCAAAGGTTTTTTGGAAGCCTGCAAGAAAATGTCTTTCATTACGCTACTTAGAGCTTCCTACCCACCAATTTCCACTGTTTCCTTGTTCACCTTGGCATCTCCACCTGTCACCTAGTTTAATTTGTACACCCAACAGTCCTTTCTAGGCACTACGGTAATATCAATAATAGAATAAACCACTCGAGAACCACGACTATCCCACCACTGCATACCTCCTCCATCCTCTCCACTGCAGAGAAATCTTAATGTATTTATTCCAGAGGAGCTGGCACAGGAACAGAACAACGCGGGATGTGCTGGAGTCTGGTAAAGCCATAGGTGACAAGAAGCTAATGAACAATGATCGTTCGCTTGCTGCATCCTTCCAGGGCAAGGAGTAGAGACATCGGGGGAAACAAGCAGGAGGGAGGCTCAAAAACACAGCCCCGGGAGTCGAGTGCTGGGACACCTCGGCACACGACACTGCACATGCAAGTTAATAGTATCCCAGAAAAGACAGGACGACCCTACATGCCCGGAAAGAGCAGCCAAAAACCTACTCAGACTGTCCCCAAAGCTGCAGATCTCCCAGGCTGGAGTCTACACAGGGGTGCATCGCCACATGCTTGCCCTGTTCCATTTTGGGCCGTGTTTTCTGGACAATTAACAAGCTTAATTATCACAACAATACAGCTCCTGGCTGATGAGGTTTAGATGTTTCTAATCTCATTGATGTTGTGCTCAATGAAGCAGATCTGGAAAAAGACAAAAAAAAAAACCTTCTGTCTTACTGCTGGGCCTAATCAACACGTTGACCTTGGCCACGTTAGCATCGTGAAGCTTCAAGGAAGCCTGCTCAGTCCTGCATTTGATAGCCTTGACATCAAAAAAACTTAAAGCTGTTCCATCTCCTCCATGGTTGATCCAGCAGGAAGAGGGAACGAGTTCAAGGCTCAGAGATGGAGCGTGCTCCAGGGTAGGTAATCAGCTTCCACAAGGTCTGTAACCTCCTGAATTCTGATCTTCTCAGGGCTGCAGATGTTTCACAGGACAGACGCTTGGACAGATGAACCTTCAGCTGAACGCAGCACAGCCAGTTAGGCCATTATCTACAAGCAGGGCTTTCACACACGGAACGAACGTTTGCTCTTAGCTGCTGTGTGAGATACCCATTGTCTGCTTCGACGGCTTTATACGAACTGCTGAACTTGCCAGACTCTCTCAGAAACACACCTGAACCTACAGCTATGTCACACTCCGAAACCTCCTCCCTGAGCCACCACCACCACTACACGTGGACAATATCACTTCCGATCACTCGCCATACGTGCCATTAACTACCTCAATCTACGAACTTCTGCTCTGCTCCTTCGTGGAGGAGCTGGACCAGGGAGCAGCTGCACTATCACCTCCAGCTCCTGCAGGACTGCGACTCCCGGGTTATTTGTACTGACCAGTTTGCTGCCAAAGTCGGTGATTTCTCACACACCCGTATCAAAGATGACGAGTTAGATATTGCAGACCGCTCCTTGAGGAACCACGAGCTGCCGTCCAAGAACCTGATTTAGGATATGCTCCTATTGCGGCCACGCTTTATACCTGGCCCAGAGTTATTGGTCTGCAAATTAACACAATAAAAGCAGACTGGAGAAATTCTTACCTGTGCACTATTTCAGACACCTAGCACCAAAGTACAAACATCTGCCCTTCGTCACTGAAGCAATCCAGTGCCTCTCAAATTAAATTCATGGTTGCTTTAGGACTCAATTCCAGCGCAAAATATCTTCTGCTGTCAGGCTGCTGGGGGAGAACTGTGCACAGAAGGGGTCTGGGCGGTTTTATTTTAAGCTCTCTGTTTCTGAAATAACCACGGTACTTCGTGAATCATCAGGATATCCCAACTGTAACATCATACAGGCAAGTTTTACTAAAATCTATATAATCCGTAAGTGGGATGTCACAGCATGACACATTCTATTCTATCTTTACCACCCAGAGCACCAGATGGATTTCAGAGCAATTAAGCAGCATTTCACTTTGGGGCTATTTTTTTTTTTAAGGTTCATTTATTTTCCATTTATTTCTGGCTGAACATTGCCGCTCCCCACGTAGCAAGCCTAGTTCTCAGGACAGGAGCAAGCCTACTCACTCAAATACTAATTAAGCTTCACATTCTGAAAGAACTGACACCCTAGAAGCTCAAACCAGCCTAGAACAAGCGTGTTTCATTCGGAAAGCGAGAGAAAAAGGGAGATCTGAAGGGGAAACTTCCAGGAGCACGAGAGAAGCAATAGTCTGAAGTAGTTTGGAGTGAGGCTCCCTTTGCCAAGCACCACTTTTAAGTACACCAA